GGAGAAAGCAGAGCAAGCTGGGGGCAGGGAGCGGCAGAGGGGGTGGGGATGAGGCAGGTGTAACAGGAAAAGAGTGCACACAGCAGAGAGCAAAGGTGGGGGAAGAAAGAGGCAGAAATCCATGAAGATGTGAGGCAATCAGGGAGATTGGGGAGAAAGAACAACAGGGCAGGAAACAAGTCCCCAGAGTGGAGCAGAACAAGACTGAGAGGAGGGATCGTTAGGCCAAAGGGAGAAACAGCAGACAGGGGAGGAGACCAAAATCAGCAGTAACCTGGGAGGAAAACATGGGAAAGCCAGTAGAAATGATGAGAGGGGAACTGGGAGCTGTGGAAAGAGAAGGAGCCAGATGAGTGCTGAGTTGACTGGAGATGGATGATGAGGGGGTGAGATATTTGGATGTGGCTTTCTCGTGGCTCAGCTGGTAAAGAATCCACCTGTTATGGAGGAGACCTGGGTTCAATCCCTGGGATGGGAAGTTCCCCTGGAGAAGGGAAAGTCTACCCACTCCAGTATTCCGGCCTGGAGAATTCCATGGACTATAGTCCTTGGGGTCACAAAGAGTCAGACATGACTGAGCGACTTTCACTTCACTTCTCATAGAATGCATTCAAGATCTGGTTAAATTAGGCACGTGAAGATGACATTTGCAAAACTCCTTTCTAAAGGGCTTGTACATTTTTATAATTATTTGTATCAGAAGATAACTTCCATTTGCAGTCCCTATTCAGCCAGGAGGCAATGATTTGACTCTGCTGGTTATCGGTCACCCTCTTCCCTTTTCCTAGTGTGGGGTAGAAGGTCAGGGAGGTCAGAAGGAGGGCACACAATGGCTGTCCCTACATGGTGCTGTTTGTTTGTGGCCACACTGTCCATTTTGCAGGATCTTAGTTCCCCACCAGGGATCGAACCCATACACCCTGCAGTGAAAGTGCTCCCCACCAGGGATCGAACCCATACACCCTGCAGTGAAAGTGCTGAGTCCTCACACTGAACTGCCAAGGAATTACATCAAGGGTCCTGGAGCAAGTGTAGAACCATTGGAAAGGCAGTCTAAGGTCTGCCTAAAACACCTGCAGATGGGTTAATGGCTGGTTATGGGGCTGCGTCTTGGGGTGCTATTATCTTAGCTCAAGTTCCCTGGGACACAGATACAGAGACTGAGATTTGCAGGTGTGGGTTTAATTGGGAAACTTATGGTCACACTTGAGGAATGAAGTGGAATTAGGCCAAGTGAAAAGACATCCTTCAGTGTTGGAACCAAGGCCTGCACTGGGCTTGTTGTGAATTCATGAATTGCTGGGGTTGGTGGGATTTCGTCACAGGCGGGAGGTTCATCACGGAGTATCTGGGAAGTGTGTGGGGACCCCATGGGAGTTTGTTAGAGCATCTGATTCCAGAAGTAGATCAGTGGGGCCTTTCAAACAGCTCAACAGGTAAGTGGTTTTCACTAGGGAGAACTTGCTGGGAGTGGGCCTGGAGGCAAAACACCAGAAGAGAGCCATGATGTAGGGAAAGAGCTCTGAAGAATCAGAGGGCAGTGACCCCACAGCAAAACATCTGCAGCAGAAAGGCTCCTCCTGGGGACTCTTTTTTTTTTTTTTAACTATAATTGATTTACGTTGTTAACGTGTTAAGTTCAAGTGTTGTTATTGTCTGGTCTCTCAGTCATGTCCTACTCTTTGCAACCTCATGGACTTCCTGCCAGGCTCCTCTGTCCATGGGATTTTTCAGGCAAGGTAGTGGAATGGGTTGCTGTTTCCTCCTGCAAGTGATCTTCTCCACCTAGGGGTCAAACCCATGTCTTCTGCAGGTCTCCTTCATTGGCAGGCAGGTTCTTGACCTCTGAGCCACCAGGGATGCCCCAATTTCAAGTGTATAGCACATTGACCCAGAGATATATATGTATATTCTGTTTTAGATTCTTTTCCCTTATAGGTTATTACAAAATATTGAGTAGGGTTTCTTGTGTTATACAGTGTGTCCTTGTTGGTTATATTTTATGTATAGTAGTGAATGTTTTAATCCCAAACTCCTAATTTATTCCTACCCTCTCCTTTCCCCTTTGGTAGCCGTAAGTTTGTTTCCTGTGTGGGTGTATTTCTGTTTTGTAAATAAGCTCATCTGTGTCTTTCTTTCTTTAAGATACCACATATAAGCCGTATCATGCAACGTTTGTCTTTCTGTGTCTGGCTCACTCCCCTTAGTGTAATCATCACTAGGTGGGACTCCTGTTGGAAAGACACAGCCTAACTTCCTCGCTGCCAGGGGAGTGGGTATCACTGTCTGCTGGTCACATGCTCCCCACCCGCACTGACACTTTGTTTTTCAGAGTCACGGATGACCTCTTTGTTTAAAAAATTATTTTCTTGACGTGTAGTTACAATGTTGTGTTAGTTTCTGCTGTACAGCAAAGTGATTCAGCCCACTCAGGATCCTAGAGGGGCTTGCATACCATCCTCCAGGGGATCTTCCACACCCAGGGATCAAACCTGTGGCATCTTCTGCATCGCAGGCGGTTTCTTAACCATCTGAGGCAGAGGCTTCCCGGATGGCTCAGACAGTAAAGAATCTGCCTGTAATGCAGAAGACACGAGTTTGAACCCTGGGTCAGGAAGATCCCCTGGAGAAGGGAATGGCTATCCACTCCACTATTCTTACCTCAAGAATTCCATGGACAGAGGAGCCTGGCGGGCTACAGTCCATGGGGTCGCAAAGAGTTGGACACAACTGAGCGACTAATACTTTCACTTTCACATATATACATCCTTTTCATATTCTTTTCCATTATGGTTTAACATAGGATGTTAAATATAGTTGCCTGTGCTTTCTCTTTGTGGCTTATTTCACTTAGTATGATCATCTCTACGTCCATCCATGTTACTGCAAATGGTTTTGTTTCATCCTTTTTTATGCCTGAGTAATATTCCTAAGTACCCCATCTTCTTTATTCATTCCTCTGTCGATGGACATTTAGGCTGCTTCCATGTCCTGTAGATTTATCTGAATATATGCTCAAGGGTAGGGTTGCTGGGTCATATGGTAGCTCTATTTTTGGTGTTTTGAGGAACTTCCCTACTGTTTTCCATAGTGGCTTCACCAGTTGACCTTCCCAGCAGCACCTCGTTTCTAAGTCCAATATTTAACTTCCTTGGCACATTTGCTTTTCCCGTCAGCCGCCAGCCGCAGGTGCCACCGGTCATCACTCCCTCTTCCTTGAGACCCTGGTTTTGAGGATGTCTCACTAACCTCTACAGACCTATCTGCCTATTTGTTTTATTTTTTTCTCCCCTCCCTGTTCACTTCTTAGTTTCCTCTGATGAATTCCTGAACTCCCTGGTCTCTGAATATGGGAGCACCCCAAGACTTAGTCCATGAACCTCTTCTCTGTCTACACCCGCTGCCTTTCCTCATCATCTCACCAAATGGCTTTCAGCCCCACCTACTCGTCTCCCAGTTTATCCTCTCCATCCACACTTCTGCCCTAAACTGTCAGTCCTGCGTCCGGCTGTCTCCTCAACGTCTCTGCTGGGACAACCAACAGGCATCTCCGCCTTAACTTGTCCAGAACTGGTCTTGACCGCCTCCAGTCCTATTCCCTCTGCCGTCCTCCTTAAGGTTGCTTAAGGGCAACCCTGTACTTGCCAGGACTTAGGTGAATACCTCAGCATGCTTTGAAATACGTACTCCATAATCTGTAAATGTTTTACTGTATAAGGTAAAGAAGAGGTTAGATGTTTACTTAAAAGTGAAAGAAGGCACACATAGCTTTCAAAATTCTCTTAAGTGATGGAAGAAGAATGTCTGGTCCTTCCTCTTTGGCTTCCCCACTCCGTGCCTCTCTGGCCTCCTCTCCTGTCTCCCCCTCCCCTTCCCCTGCTCCAGATGCACAGTCCTCTTTCCCCTTCCAGCCCTAAGTTTGCTACTGGCTCAGGGACCTTAAGGGAGTGTCCCTCGGCCTCAAACTCTCTGGCCCAGCAGATGCAGATGCCTTCCTCCCCCAGGTCTTTGTTCTGACGTCACCTTCTGAGTGCAGCCATCTCTGAGCTCCCTGCGCCCGTGCCAGCCCCACCCTCACCCCCACCTCTGTTCTTAAGGGCTGCTTGGCGTGTTTTTTTTCTGCTCCTTCCCCTTCCATGGCTGGTTGCTGGTGATAGCAGTTCACCCCGTGTCAGAGAGAGACAGAACGTGGGGCCATGCTGGGTGTGCCTCTGAGTGGTGCGCAACCCAGGCTTCACGTTAGGTCCATGAAGCGTTTTGCATAGACAGGTTTTGTGCCCCTTTTCCCATCAGAGACTCTCTTCAGACTGTTGTGTGGGGCCTAGCTTCAGGAATGTTTGTGTGCACGCATGCTAAGTCACCTCAGTCGTGTCTGACTCTTTGAGACCCCATGGAGTGTAACCCACAGACTCCTCTGTCCATGGTATTTTCCAGGCAAGAATACTGGAGTGGGTTGCCATTTCCTTCTCCAGGAGATCTCTCTGACCCAGGGTCAAACCCGCGTCTCTTAAGTCTCCTGCATTGGCAGGCAGGTTCTTTACCACTCGTGCCACCTGGGAAGCCAGGAATGTGCACAGAGCCACAGATGATTCCGATCTGGATCCTGCATTGAGCACCAGGGCTCTTACCCTCCACTTCTGAGACTGAGATCAGGCCCTGGGGGAGGGGAGGGCGCTCTGCTCTGAGTGGGGCTGGACCAGGGCCTGCTGTGTGACCTGAAGGGGATCGTGGGGTCAGCAGAGGTGCCCCCTGCTGCTGTGTGCATGAGGCCTCACAGGAGGGGAGTGTGATCCGAGGGAAAGTGTGGGAAAGTCCCGTGTTGGACTCTGCACCAGAATTGACTGTCCTGAGTCCCTCCTGAGACAGTGGGCACAGAGGACTGTCTGTTCCACATGTTGAGGGCTTCCCTGTGTGTGTGGTTGGGTCTCAGGAAGGGGATGTTTTGGCTCTAAGCATTAAACAGCATGTTTTCCACTTTCAAGACTGACTTCTAAAGTCTCATGATGCCTGAGGAAAAAACCCAGACGAGGAGGAAGAGGAAAGAACAGGTAATGGCTCTTTCTCAGGTAAAGTCATATTCTCAGTTGATTCACCGCATGTCCTTCCTGAAATGCCCTTCTCAGGACTCACTAAGCACGTCTGACTCTGGAGTGTCCTGTCTGACTCCTGTACATGCACACTCACCCTGGGCCTTTCCTCAGGGCCTGTCATCTCCACTTAGATCCTCGTGACTCAGTGATGAAGAAACTTGAAAAGGCTCCATTGTGGTCATAGAGAGACACTTCCTTATTTTCAGTAAATTTAAGTGCGTATACATGTGTGCATGAGTGCACAGGTGTGCAAGCCTTTGGTTTTTACAAAATACGTATCATTATGTCTATATAACTTCTATGGTATTGAGTTGTGAAATTATATATTTTTCATTGTCTTAAAATTTTTCCACACACTGACATTCATGAGTTAAATAAGAAGAGTAATTATTATATTTCTGCACGTGTCCGTGATGACATTTTATGCAACTCTGGGTTGTTAGCCTTGAACTTGTTTCAAGTTTTCTCAAGAAACCCTCTGTCAGTGTACCTTTGGTAATTTTATATGACTTAAGTTTTTTACATTTAATTCTAGAACCTAAACACCTGGGTTTATATGCTTTCTCTACCGTCTTTAGCTGTTTGACCTGAAGCAGATTTCTTAGAATGTCTGTGACACAACTGTCACTGCCTTCAGATGTATGAAACTAGATCTTTTTATTTTAAAAAATTTGTTTTTAATTATTTTATATTGGAGTATAGTTGAATAGCAGTGTTGTGTTAGCTTCAGGTGTACAGCAGAGTGATTCAGTTATACATACACATGTCTATTCTTTTCCCATTTAGCGTATTTCAGAGTATTCAGCAGAGTTGCTTGTGCTGTGCAGTAGATCCTTGTTGTTTATCTGTTGTATACATAGTAGTATGTATACAAACCCAGTTCTGCCCCTGACACCTGCCCACACCACATTTTCCCTTTGGTAGCCGTAAGCCTGTTTTCTATGTATGTGAGTCTGTTTCTGTTTTGTTTTTCATTTATTTATTTATTTACTTGCTTATCTGTTTATTTTGATATTTTAAATTTTTGGAGGATAGTTGATATACAATTTTGTGTTAGTTTCGGGTGTGCAGAAAATTGAGTTATACATGCACAAATATCCATTGTTTTTTAGATTCTTCTCAGATCTTTTTAAATTTGCTATTATGTTATACGAGTTAGTACATGCAAAGCATTTTTAGAGGAATGCATAGCACCCAAGAAGTGTTCAAACACTTTTTGAGATCCCTGTTGCTATCATTACAGTTTCTTTAAAGTCAGTATAGACACTGTCATCTCTAAAGATTTCATTGCTGCTCTAGTTCCTCTTAACATTGAATATTACTTGGTGTGTGGAACATACTGTCTCACATTTCTATACAGATAATCCTGTGTCGATTGTGTGTGTGTGTTTCTTGTATTGTCCACAAAAATAGGAAATACATACTGATTTAGAGGCTGTTATAACCTCTTGTGGAAAAGTATAATAAACCAAAATCAGAGACACATAACATGCTCAAAAGTACGTTCAGTGAATCTGTAACCACACTCTAGTCAAAATCAATCCTTACACCTCTCTCCTTTTCTCATTTTGTGTGAAAAGAAGACTCTCCTGGTGGGCCCGTTGGTGAAATGTGTTTTCGTTTCAGGGACGGTTGACATTCAAAGATGTGGCCATTGAATTCACTCCCGAGGAGTGGGAGTGCTTGGACCCTGCTCAGAGGGCCTTGTACAGAGAAGTGATGGTGGAGACCCTCAGAAACCTGCTCTCTGTGGGTGAGGATCGCTTCCCTCCAGAAGTTGGGGTCTGCCCATGGGTAGCTCTGCATTTTCCATCCTGTGCCTCTTGGGTGTGCCTGCATGGCCTGACTGAGCTCAGAGCCCTGTTGACTCAGACATGAAAAGCTTCCTAATGCAGCAGGACTTTGAACTTGTCCTTTCTTCATATGATCTTCCCATTTCATGGTCAAGGGTGATTCCAGAGCTCAAATATGCATCAAACCTTATAACAAATAGAAAATATCCAGTTCCCTCTTTCCTACCCCTGAGCTTTTGATTCAGAAATTCTTGGAAGAGAGCTAGGTGTCTACATATTATATACTATGCCCTATGCATTCAAAATCAGGCAGCCAGTGGATGAATTTTTGGATTGTGGCAGGGGGAAGCTGTGTTATGTGGCATACAAGAACTTAGTTCCCCAACCAGGAATTGAACCCAGGCCCCCGACATTGGGAGTTTAGACTCAACCACTGGACCACCAGGGAGATCCCATGTAATGGTTTTTTAGCTTTATTGAGGTATAGTCAAATAAAGTTATAGTATATTTAAACTGTACAACACAGTAACTTGATATACATGTACATTGTTAGTGGGTTTCCATGAAGTTAACACATAAATTACCTCACATGTGACTTTTATTTTTTGTTTTGGTGAGAACACTTAAGTTCTACTCTCTCAGTACATTTCAGTTTTACAGTATTAATACTATCCACTGTCATCGTCGTGTTACATGTGAAATCCTCAGAGCTTGTTCATCTTATGATGGAAATTGTGAACCTTTTTATCAACTGCTCCCCGTTTCTGTCACCCCCAGGCCCTGGCAGCAGTTATTCTAGTCTGTGTTTCTTGGCCTGGTTTCTTCCCTCTTCATCACACTCCCTATCTTTTCAATCTCTTCCTTTTGGCCCCATGTCCTACAGTTAAGAAAGGACTTAACTTTCTTAACTTAGTATCATACTACTTGCTAAGTCAGTTTCTCTTTTCTTCCCAGGTCAATATTTTATGTGCCCAGGTATGTTTATCTTCCCACAGATTGACACGTACAAACACTGCCCAACATGCCCTTTGCTCCCTACCCAGCAGTCTTTTTTTTTTAATTCTCTCTATTAATTTAAGTGTACTTGATTTACAATGTTGTGTTAATTTCTGCTGTTAGCAGAGTGATTCAGTTATACAGCTATATACATTCTTTTTCATGTTCTTTTCCGTTATGGTTTATCACTGTTTACTAATCTTCACTATGACCTATAGGTAATGATTTTTCAGGATGTATTTCACAGTACAACTGACTCACACCACTTGTTAGTGTGGCAGAATGGCCATTCTGAGTGAATATGGTTTTATAAGTGGCATTCAGAGAATTATTTTTACAACATTTTATTAAATTCTTCCTCATTTCCACAGGGCAGATACGGTTTTCCAGTTCTAAAGTGCCATTTACTTATATTACTCACTGATTAAATTTGTTGTGACTTATTTACCATTAGAGTACTATGCTTTAGCATTATTACTAATCATTAAAAATATAGTAAACATATGTAATATGGGCTTCCCTGGTGCCTCAGATGGTAAAGAATCTGCTTGCATTGCAGGAGACCTGAGTTCAATCCCTGAGTGGGGAAGATCCCCTGAAAAAGGGAATGGTTACCCACTCCAGTATTCTTGCCTGGAGAGAAGTAAGATTGTTACTGTGTAATATTGTTCTTTCTTCAAATATGAAGCAGCCATGTTTTCTGTGAAGTAATATGTGGATTTAGGTCATGATGCCAAAATACCCCTGTCAGGACTAACATAAGTTTGCACGCTGAGGTTTTCAGCCATTGATTGTTTAAAGTAGGCCTCCCTAACATGTAATCACCCTTTTTTTTTTTTTCCAGTTTTTTAAATTGTGGTAGAAGTCACAGAACATAAACCATACTATCTTAACCATGTTTAACTGTGCAGTTCAAGCTTCCCAGGTGGTGCTAGTGGTCAAGAACCGGGCTGCCAATGCAGAAGTAAGAGAGCTTTGATCCCTGGGTTGGGAAGATCCCCTGGAGGAGGGCATGGCAACACACACAGTATTCTTGCCTGGAAGATCCCATAGACAGAGGAGCCTGGTGGGTTATAGTCCACAGGGTCACAAAGAGTCAGACACAGCTGAAGTGACTTAGCATGCATGCACACAACTGTGCAGTTCTGTGGCACTGAGTACATTCACATCATTGTGTGACTCTCACCATCATCCATCTCCCAAATTTTTCACTTTCCTGAAGTGAAACTCGGTCCCCATTAGACATTAAGTCCCCATTCCCCCTCCACACACCTCCTGCCCCACACACACCCCGTCCCTGGCATCTTACCAGGGACTCTGTAACTACTGGAAAGAGTTTCTGACTCTAACTTTGACTCATTAAAGTAGAATCAAACAATATTTGTGTGCACCTCCTGTATATACCCTTTCTTTTATCAAGGGACCTTATTCCTGGTGTGTTCCCAAAAAGGAAAGACCATGGTTGCACCATTTCTTATCTGTCCAAAGCTTGTAGTCCTTTTGCTATAGTACCATGTTCTTCCATATGAAATATTTCTTTCCCAGCTGTAATTAACAGGAGACATGTGATTTTGTTTGTCTTGCAGATACCTCTCCTAGACGTGTGATGAAGGGATCAGCACCAAAACAGAGCAGTCACACAGGAGGGATCCTGCAGACAGTGTTGTCAGAAAGGCACAAAAGCCATGACACCAAGGACCATGGCTGCCAGAAAATCCAGAAAAATGTGTTCTCACGGGAAAGTGATAAAAGTAATCAGAAGGGAGTACCTGCCTCCCATCCAAAAAATCTCATTTGTCAAAGAGACGAAGGAAACAAGCCAATTGAAAGCAGGCTGGCAATCAGCTTTCCGTCATATCTGACTGGACTGCCCGTCTTCCCAGCCGAAGGGCAGTTTTATGTGTATCATCAGGTTGAGAAGGCTGACAACACAGGAGCCTCCTTTTCAGTACTTCCAAGAATTGTTCCTACTGTCCAGATCAACGTTTCTAATGGATACGGGATCAGTTTCTGGCATTCTCCATTACTCATACAAGACCAGAAAGCACATGTTCGGGAAGGCCCTTACAGACGCAACCCGGATGACAAAGCAGTTCATGACAGCTCCCAGCGCCCCAGCCGTCAGGCGACCCATGGAGGGGTGAGGCCTCACACATGTAACGTGTGTGGCAAAGCCTTTCATCAGAGCTCACATCTCACTCGACATCAAAGAATCCACACAAGAGGGAAGCATCACAAGTGTGAAGAGTGTGGTAAGGGCTTTAGTTACAGTTCACACCTTGTACGCCACCGCAGAATCCATACCGGAGAGAGACCTTACCAGTGCAGCGAGTGTGACAAAGCCTTCAGTGTGCTTTCAAGTCTTATTTATCACCAGGTCGTCCACACTAGAGAGAAACCTTACAAATGTAATGAATGCGACAAAGTCTTCAGTCAGAGTTCAAGCCTTACCAATCATCGCAGAATCCATACCGGAGAGAAACCTTACAAATGTGATCAATGTGGCAAAGCCTTTAACCAGAGCTCGCATCTCACCAGACATCAAGTCATGCACACCGGAGAGAAGCCTTACAAGTGTGATGAGTGTGGCAAGGTCTTCACTCAGAACTCTAGCCTTGTAAGTCACCGGAGAATTCACACTGGGGAGAAACCCTACCAGTGTAACGAGTGTGGCAAAGCATTTGGTGTGTATTCGAGTCTGACTTATCATCAGGTAACCCACACTAGAGAGAAACCTTACAAATGTAATGAATGTGGCAAGGTCTTCAGTCAGAGTTCAAGCCTTCCCAGTCATCGCAGGATTCATACTGGAGAGAAACCGTACAAATGTGATCAGTGTGGCAAATCCTTTATTCACTGCTCAAACTTCAATAGACATAAGAAAATCCATACTGGAGAGAAACCTTACAAATGTGACGAATGTGGCAAGGTCTTCACTCAAAACTCAAGCCTCATGAGTCATCGGAGAATTCATGCTAGGGAGTGACCTGACCAATGTGATGAGTGTCACAAACTGCTTGTTGTAAGTTCTCCCATAAATTGACACCAGAGAGTCCATACTAAAGAGAAATTATATCAGTGTAACATACAGGACAGAGGACTTATACAGATTCATAGCTCACAAGACATCCAGAATCTATACCTTTGATGAAGCCACAAAAATGTGTTTATAAAAATCAAAACTAAAGAACATCATGACATTCCTACCGGAGAGCAGCCTTACAAATGGAATGAATATGGGAAGGTTTCTAAAAGCATTCATGCCTTTGATGTCTTGAGAGTATTTAAACTAGGGAGAAACCAGACAGACTTACTGAGTGTGGAAAGGCCTTTCAGCAACAGTATCCCCTCAGAATTCACCAAAGAATTCATTAGTGGAAAGAAACCTTACAAACATAATGAATATTTTAAATTTCTTCATGACTTTTCATAACAGTCTGCCTCAGCATTCACGTGAGGAATGACTAAGTCTCAAATTTAATCTGAAGTATTGCAGACTGCAGAATAATTAAAATATGTTCAAATTTAGATAGGTCCTGAGGATATTATCCTATGGTTTCTTTTCTGAATCTCTTACAATGTAAAGTACAATGGTTTTACATTTCATGTTTAAAGCTATGACCAACTTTAATATTCGTACAAGTGTGAAGTTTTGGTGGAGGTTCTTTCATATTTTTTTCCCTAGTTTGGGAAATGAGTTGCTAGGTATCATTTTTCAAATTCTTTGTCCATGGGGTTTCCTTGGTACCTTGTCAGACTCAGTTGGAAGTACTTGTGTGGGGGCTGTTTCTGGGTTTTCTGTTTTGTTTCTTTGACCCGTATGTCTTACTCCACAGACATCACAGTCTTGATTACTTTTTACCATGTTAGAAGTCTTAAATGAGAGTGACTCCAAACAGTTTATTCTTCTCCAGATGTTTTTGCTATTCTAGTTCTTTCCATGTAAGTTTTAGAAAAATCTTGTTCGTTTCTACAAAATATCTTGATAGAAAATGTCTATCAGTTTGCAATCATTTGACATCGTTTCTGTGTTATGCCTTCCAATAAATGGCTGTCGTATGTCTTTATTTGTCTGTTCTTTGGTTTCTTTCACCAGTATTAAATAAATATCAGCATCAAAATCCTGTCAACACTTCGTTTAGCACATTTCTACTTTTACTTTTTGAATAATTGGACATGTTATTTTTAATTTGTCTCCATGTGTTAATTGCTATTATATAGAAATACAGTAGATTTTTGAATGTTGATCTTGTATCCTCAGAATTTACTAATCTCACTTACTCTAGAGATTTTTGTAGATCCTTTGGACTTGTGTATCTGTAATCATTTCAGTAGTTTCCTAGTGCAGCTTGCCGACAAAAATTTCAGTTATCAAGAAGGGAATTTACTTGAGCCAAACTACGGATTATAATCCAGGAAGTAGATTCTCAAAAAGCTCTGACAACTGTTCCAACTGTTAAAGAGTTCAAGGTATAGTCACAAACATTTTTGAGACACAGGATTGTATGTCAAAATGACACATTTTTAAAAATTGTTTTAACATTTTATCTTTGACTGCTCTATATTTTCATTGCTGCACAAAGGCTTTTCTCTAGTTGCAGGCTTCTCATTGTGATGGCTCCTCTTGTTGTGGAGCACAGGCTCTAGGGCATGTGGGCTCCAGTAGTTGTGGCTTAGTTACCCTGCGGTATGTGGGATCTTCCTGGACCAGGGATTGAAGCCGTGTCCTTTGCATTGGCAGGTGGATTCTTAACGTCTGGACCACCAGGGAAGCCCAGACCTACTGATATTTTACATGAAGTTCATCAAGGATACATGGTCCAGGTAAGTACATTCAAAATGAACAGCAGGTCACCAGGACCTCCTATAGAATTGGGAAAAGACACCATTCTTTTAAGAAGTTAAATTGCTAGCTCCAAAAGAAAGGGAAAATATTAGACCTTTTCTGTTGGTTGGGCACGCACAGCCATCCCTGAGGAACTGTGGTTCATGTATAACACAGGTGCACACTGCACATTAGGGAGAGAGGGAGGAGGCCTAAACAGAATTTAATGTTTAAATTTTTTCTTGTCTTAAAATACACATTTTATTTCATCAGAAATAAATACCACAGACTAAGTGGATTAAAACAAGTTGTCTTCCAGTTCAGGTCAGAAGTCTAAAATGAGTATCTTAACAGAACTGGGAGAAATTTGTTTCCTTGCTGTTTCCAAGTTCTAGGGACTGCTTACATGCTTTGCCACTTCAAAATAAGCTAGGTACCATCTTTTTTTTTTTTTGCTTTTGGCCTCACTGTGTGGCATCTGGGATCTTAGTTCCCCAACCATGGATTGAACCCGTGCTCTCTGCAGAGGAAGTAAGGAGTCTCAACCACTGAACCTCCAGAGAATTCATGTGTGTGTGTGTGTGTGTGTGTGTGTGTGTGTGTGTATACATATATATACATATATGCACACACATATATAATCTACTACATATATATGTTACACAAGGTTGAATATATCGTTCATTGTTGAAACTCCTTTAAATTTTTTGGATCCTCAAATCTAGTGATCACAAATAAGGGTATTTTCTAATCTTTGTGTATGATTTCTCCCACTTTTTTATTCTTCTGCTTTGTTCCCTTGGATCTTTGCCTAAAGAAAAATCTATATAAACGAAAAGGCCATACACCCCCACCCTGTTTGTGTATGTTAGTTGCTCATGTCTGACTCTTTGCAGCCCCATGGACTGTAGCTCGCCAGGTTCCTCTATCCATGGGATTTTATAGGCATGAATATTGGAGAGGGTTGGGATTCCCTTCTTCAGGGGATCTTCCCAACCCAGGAATCGAACCCCAGTCTTATGCTTTGCAGGCAGATCTCTTCAACATCTGAGCCCCAACCCTGCTCCTCTGCTATTCTAGAAATAGTAAAGATTCCACCATAGATATATTTCCTCAGTGGAGGACAGGAGGAACAATGCTGGGTTGTTTCAGGGTTCACATGAAATGGTAACTATTAAGCATTTGGAACACTGCCTGGCACAAAGTAGGAGCTCAGTGATCACAGTTGTTTAGTAACTAAGCAGTGTCTGACTCTTTTGCAACCCCGTGGATTGTAGCCCACCAGGCTCCTCTGTCCATGGAATTTCCCAGGCAAGAATACTCGAGTGGGTTGCCATTTCCTTCTCCAGGGGATCTTCCTGACCCAGGGAAGGAACACTCAACTCCTGAATTGGTGGGTGTGTTCTTTACCACTGAGCCACCAGGGAAGCCCGATAGAGGACATGGGAGTTCAAACTGACTCCTGTCTTCCCTCAAACTTGCTGAGATACCATTTAACAAAATATTTCAGCCTCTAAATATCCCAGCATCCAACTGATACTTTTATGCTTTTTAATATTTATTTGGCCACACCACGTCTTAATTGTGGCACAGTGTCTTCAATCTTTGTTGTGGGATTTTTAGTTGTGGCATGTGGGATCTAGTTCCCTGAGCAGGGGTTGAACCTGGGCCCCTGCATTGGGAGCACAGATTCTTACCCACCGGACCACCAGGGAAGTCTCTCCAGTTGGTATTTTTGCTTGTTAATTTCCATCTTAAAAATATTCTACAATGAGATACCACCTCATATCCATTCAGATGACTATTATCTAAAAAACAAAAACCAGAAAATATTAATAACAAGTGTTAGCAACGATGTAGTAAAACTAAACCTTAATCACTGCTGGTTGGAATGTGAAATGGGACAACTAATATGGAAATCTCATAGCAGTTCCTCAAAAAATTAAACACAGAATTAACATATAATCCAAAAATTCTGTTATGGGTATATACCCCAAAGAACTAAAAGAAGACTCAGAAAGAAATTTGTACAAGCATGTTCACAGCAACATTATTTACTGTAGCCAAGAGGTGAACACAACCAAGTGTCCATTGGCACACAAAGGAAACCCAATGTGGTCAACTGTAAAATATTGTATATGTGTGCTCAGTCATGTCCAGCTCTTTGCAACCCAGTGGATTGTGACCCTCCAGGCTCCTCTGTCCATTGGATTTCCCAGGCAAAAATACTGGAGTGGGTTACCGTTTCCTTTTCCAGGGGGTCTTCCTGACCCAGGGAAAAACCTGCCCTTCAGTGCAGTGTCTGACACCCTATTCCCCCATCCAGATCCATCCTAGGTATGTGAATCAAAACTGAAGGCTCGCTCTTTCCATAAACTCTTCTCACATTTCACTGCCTTCTGAATTGTAGGGAAATTTTTATTAGATTGAAATACACATACTCAGAGAAACTTTATATTATCTTCAGATAATCACAGGCCACACTTTACACAACAGATCCCTTGTCTCTGTGAAGTCTTACATTGAAACAGCTCATGAAAACAAAATTAATGACATTTTACTTAGTAAATAACTGGTTCAGTGTCTTCAATATATTTTATTTTTTGTGTATGTTACTTAGACTCATTTTTTTTTTTTGCTTAATTTTTTATATTGGAGTATAGTTGATTTACAATGTGTTAGTTTCAGGTATACATCAAAGTAACTCAGTTATACATACACATATGTCCATTCTTTTTCAGATTCTTTTCCCATAGAGCTTATTACAGATCATTGAGTTCCCTGTGCTATACTGTACGTCCATGTTGATTATCTATTTCATATATAGTAGTATGTATATGTTAATCCCAAACTCTTAATTTATCCTCTCTGCCACATTTCCCCTGTGGTAACCATAAGTTTTTTTGATGCCTGTGAGTCTGTTTGTGTTCTGTAAATAAGTTCATTTGTATCATTTTTTTAAAGAATCCACATATAATTGGTATATGATATTTGTCTTTCTCTGAGTTAACTTCACTTTGTATGATAATCTCTAGGTCCCTCCATATTGCTGTAATGGCATTATTTTGTTCTTTTCCATGACTAAGTAGTATTCCATTGTACCACATCTTCTTTATCCATTCCACTGTTGGACATTTAGGTTGCCCTGTGTCCTGGC